AGAGTGTTCTAGGCTGGTTATAATTCTGACCTTTATTTCTCAACCAAAAACTCTGTTGGGAGGAGCACAGGATTTTCTCCACCTGTTAACTTGAACGTTGATGTATACGTGGCCAGCGTGGGTGTTCCACTTTCATCGTGCCTTAGTGCCTTTCTAGCTTGCATGCATTTAGCGCTGCGGCCGCAGTCGTGGTTTGTGTGATGTGTTGTGTGTCTTAACCTTTGCAGAGCATGCCTTCGCCTCAGGTGCACTGTGCTGGCTGCGTTACGCCCTCAGGAAGCAATGCCAGCAGCATGCCTGTAGAAAGCAATAGCATACGTGAGGAGAAGATTGTAAGTTTTGTACCCGTTTCTGCTCCGAGGCCTGGTGGTGGTGGGCTCAGGGCCGTGCGGTGGTGGGCTTAAGGCGCTTACAGTACCGCAGCAGAAAAAAAACGTATAAAGTGGATATAATCACTTGTCACTGGTTGTAGCTGATGGTTATAACGAACCGTTGCTTGCCTGGCTTGCAAATGCAATCTGTTGTTGGAACTAACTCAGTTGGGACTTTGCAGGTTTTTTGCTTGTTTTTTAATATTTGTATGTGATTTGTCTTGTGGGGTGGGCGGGAGAGGGGAGGCTTTAGTTTGTGCAGGGCACAAATGATCAAGTAAAGGGTGGCTTAGTGAACCATGTTGTTGTCACTCTAATATACCTTGTGTGTTACCCAGATTTTGTGACTATACCCCAGAGTAAGTGGAATGGTCCCATTTGGTGTAAGTAACCGTGCATTTAGGTGTGAGTACGCCATAAAAAGCTTCTCATTGCCTGATCTGGAAGTAATATGACTAAAATAAGATTGCCGCTCTTAGTTAACCTGCAGCCTGTCTTAATCATAATTCAAGCAGTGAATTGAGGTGGAGGGCTTTTATTTTAATCGTCACCTGCCAAATCCTTTTCTTACTGCTGCTTCAACAAAAGGTGTATCATCATTTCTGCTGTATGATGGACTTGGGTTTTGGGCTGTGTAACATGGCTGTAAATACTTGCTTTAATCGGAGCTTTAGATTGAAAATTCAGAACCTTCAAATTATTTCCTGTAATTATTATAGGCCTCTTCTACCACAAAGCGTGAGTGATGGCTTCTTCCTGTTCAACAGTGATTTTCATTTCTACCATATAGCCAAGCCATTAGAAAATCTGTTCTGGATTTCTAATGCTGTTTTGTAGGTTGTTATAGCAAAGTATCCTGAGTGTTGTGGTGTCTATATTTGAAGCTTGGCTGCAGGTTTTGGGCAGCAGCTGTTTTATTCTCAATCATGTTAATTTTCCGTAAGGTAGCTGACAGGCTGACTCCCACTGAGTCACTGATGCAAATAGCATGAAGGTATTTGGAAGACAAAATCTTCTAGTGGATTGAAAAACATCCCTTGGAAACTAAATTTCACAAAATTTTCCATAGCGACTTCAGTGCAGTTTTAGTCCCTTGAGTAAAAACAGGGTCCCACCCCATGCATGCCCTGGATTAACCCAGGCGTTTGCCTGTGCTGCTTTCCAAAGGTAAGCAGAAGCTTTCAGAGCTGGGAAAGGGCAACATCCTGCACCAGGCTCTTCCAGCTAGGATGGAACTAATTCATTGAGCACCATAAACCTGCTGTAGCCAACAGGGCCCTGGAGAGAGCTGTTCTTTCAATTCCCATCTGCTTGCTCCTGCCCTTGCTCTGACTTCTCCCTTGCATCAACATAGCCTTTGTCTTGGTTGCGTAGTAGGTCAGATCAAGGGAACTGATCCATCCCGCTGATGGCTAGGCTGCCATGGAGTAGCATTTCCTTTGGGTCTGCTCCCCTGTCCAGTCACCTTACAGACACTTGGGCAGGTGCCGAGGAGGCAGGCAAGAACTAGCAGCTGCTAGTGGGAAGTCGAGACAGCTACTTTGCGCCATCTTATGGCATTGGGTTTATCAAATCATGGCTTCTGTTTTTTTAGTCACTTTGGGAACGAAGCCTTCATAAGACGTAGGCTTTTCAGGAGCATTTTTAGGAGCTGGAGCAAGCCTATGTTTGAGCCAGGCTGGAGTATATATTTCACACATGTGGATGAATAGTGCTCTCGGAATGAGTTCAGAGATTACCCTAGGGCAGTGTCACAGCTCCGCATGAAACTTCAGCTGTCTGCTCCTCTCTGTCTAATTCAGAGTGAAGTTTTCACATTATTAATCAATATGGTAAATGATTGCTCGAAGTACAGAGCTTCATACTCCTAGTTAATCACTGGATGACTGGTGTCGCTTCAGGTGTGATGCTCACTTGCATCTTACAGCATGTAAAAAATGCCATAGAAGTAAAGTGACTAAACATACAGGAAGCGAGTAATATTAACTAGATTAATTTTCGGCATCTGAGCAGGCATAAGATTGATGTTTGACCTTTTTCTCACGTTTTTCTGGGATCTGGTATAAACATTTTTATTCAGTTGGCCCGAAATAGAGCATTCGACCTAAAATTTCAGATGGTACTTCCACATGTGTTTAATATTGAAACTATTTCGAAACAGCATAACATAAGGGCCTGTTCTATATAACGTGCGAGCACAGTGGAATATGTTAAGGTCAGATGAAATGCTTTCATATTGACTGTATTTGAGTACTGCCTGTAATTAACACATGTAAGGGGGGGTTGGCTAAGAACAAATCCTAGCAAGCCATCCAAATTGAAGCACCCGGTGGTGCAACCACTAAATAAGTATTACTTATTTTTAAATGAGTAAAATGGGAACGTGCTTCTTTGAGGTTACTGGAGAGGTATAACTTAGGGATGTGAAAACTCGGATGCTTGAACTTACAACTACACAGTATGTTTGTTACAGAGCAGGGGGAGGAAAGCTGCTCTGTGTTCTTGCTTGCTTTGCTTCTGTTTTTGCTAAATCTTGATGTATAGTCTTGTCTCCTTAGTTCTTGCTGGCACATTTACTGTTACCAGTTCTTAAATCTGTTTTTTGTGATAGTCTGTCTTTTACTCCTCACGGAAGTGGCTATGGTTTCCTTACCAGTTTTTTCAAGGATTTTATCTTTATTTCTGCCAATAGCCTGAGCAGTACAAGGCAGCTTCCTTCTTGGTTCCCCACATCTTATATCCACTGGAACTTGAAGAACGCTGAAATTGTTTTGTGTCTGGATTTTCCCAATCGGGAAGCTCAAGAGGAGCTTTGAAAGGAAATATTTCTTGTCCCCACAAAGGGGCACCTTTTGTCTGTCACAACGCGATGTCTCATCACCTATTTGCAGCATTTTTCACAACCCATGTTCTAGTAAGAAGACTGCTCTGTAGCTTAGCTTTTGTATTTACGATAAGATAACCCTGAAACGACACACGACGGGCAATGTGTTTACTTGTTTGACTTTTCCTAATCCAGTCACCAATGTCCGTGTGTCTCTAGAGCCATTTCTCAGTTAGAGAGCCTCCAGTCTGATTCTGAACAGGGACCCTGTGGGTACGAAGATGTTATTTTTTCAGTCAAATAAGGAATTTTGAAGGATTCAAAGAGAAACGAAGAACTCTGCTATAAACACGCCTTTTGGTTTCAAGTGGATGTTTAGCTAATATCGACTAGGAAGTACTTCCTTAATGAAGTATTTATCAATTTGGAGTTCACGTAGTGTCTTAAACCCACTGTATCTGATAAACACTGGAGTTGGTTATATTTTAAAAACAACAAACTACAAGGTTCTGCATAGAGCAAAACTTAGTTTTATATAAGTAATAAGGGTGAAGGGGAAGGAGTAAGTAGAGTAATTGAGAAAAGGTCCCTCAGAGATGAGCAACAGGTATACTCCAATATGCAAAAAAGATGCTTTGCATAATGCTTTAGTGGTTGGAAGGGTATTCATAGTCTCAATAAAGTGGATGTGAATTTTGCCCTTTACTTTTAAAGGGACTACCTGTAGATTTCAGATGTAAAGAACAAGATTTTGAATGATATAAATAATTTTCAGCAGCCTTATGTGACATTTCATAACACAATGACTCCTCTGGAGAGAAATAAATAATTGCAAAATAAAGCCTTCATCCAAATTCCGTATGAGAAATAACTGAAGCAGAGCTGTAAAAACTAGTAACTGAAGGATGCCAAGCCTTTACTTGAGCAAATATTAATAATCTAAAATCTGGTTGGATTTGTCTGATAGACAAATAGAGGCTTCTCCAGATACTGATTTCTGTGCCAGCAAAAATCTAATATTCTTGGAAATCTTGATTCAGCTTAAGAGACCGTTCTGCATGGGTAATGTGACTGAATTATACCTGCTATGATCTTGAACATGGTAGGAATGAAAATGGGACCTTGTTATAGAAAAGGACCATGGCAAGTAGTGATCACTTCAAAAAACACAAGATAAAACAAAAGTGAAGTCGTTGAGAACATCTTTACAGTACTTTTTTTTTTTAATTAAAAAAAAAAATCAAACAAAAACTGGGGAAAAAAGCACCTCCAGCTTAGGAGAAAGATCTTGTCACATAAGCATGTGTTTCCTGATACATACCTACAAGGAGGTTTTAGTTAATTGCACTGCTAAATGGGGCAGGGGAGCTGGTCACAAACGACTTGGAGAAGGCCGATGTATTCAATGTCTTCTTTACTTCAACCTTCATCTATGAAACTAGCCTTCAGGAATCCCAAGTCCCTGAGACCCGAGGGGAAGTGTGGAACAAAGAAGACTTACCCTTGTAGAGGACCATGAGGTTGAGGAGCACTTCAGCAAACTGCATGTTCGTTTAAGGAAACATACCCACGAGTGCTGAGGGAACTGGCTGATGTTATCGTAAGGCCACTCTCAGTTACCTTGGAATGTCATAGCAATTGGGAGAGCTACCTGAAGACCGGAAGAGAGAAAATACCACTCCTGTCTTTAAGAAGGACGAACAAGAAAGATTCAGCTAACTACAGACTGGTCAGCTGCCCTCCTGTTGCTGGAAAGGTGGTGGAGAAAATCCTCCTAGAAAGCGTTTCTAAACCCGTAGAGGACAAGGTGATTGGGAGTAGTCAGTGTGGATTTGCAAAGGCAAAATCATGTTTGACCAACCTCAGTTGCCTTCCACAGTAACGTGACTAGCTTGGCGGGTGGGGAGAGCAGTGGATGTGTTTTACCTTGACTTTAGTAAAGCCTTTGACACCATCTCCTGTAGCATCATCGCAGGTGGGCTGACAAAGTACAGGTTAGATATAGGTGGACAGCGAAGTGGATTAAAAACTGGCTGAACATCTGGGCCCAGAGGCTTGTCATGAGAGGTGCAAAGTCCTGTTGGAGGCCAGTAACAAGTGGTGCACTCCAGGGCTCGGTATTGGGGCCACTACTGTTCAACACCTTCATGAATGACCTGGATGGTTGGACAGAGTGCACACTCTGCAAATTTGCAGATGATATGAGACTGGGAGAAGCAGCTGACACACCAGAGAGCTGCGCTACTACTCAGAGACACCTCAGCAAGTTGGAGAACTGGGCAAAGAGGAATCTCATGAACTTCAACAAGGGGAAATGCAGAGGCTTCCATCTGGGGAGGAGTAATGCCAGGCACCAGGACAGGCTGGCAGCTGACCAGCTGGAGAGCAGCTTTGCCTAGAAGTACCTTGGGTACTCATGGACAATAAGCTGCCCATGCACCAGCAATGCACCCTTGTGGCAGAGAGGACCAGCAACACACTGGGCATCGCCAGCGAGTTGACGGAGGTGGTCCTTGCTCTCTGCTTAGCCCTAGTGAGGCTGTACCTGGAGTACTGTGTCTGGTTCTGGGCTCCCCGCTGCACTGCAAGGAAGACACGGAATTACTGAAGCGAGTCCGGTGCAGGTTACAAAGGTGATAAATGGCTTGGAGCCTCTGACGTGTGAGGAGAGGCTGAGAGAGCCGGGGCTGTTCAGCCTGGAGGAGACCAGGCCCAGGGGCATCTTATTAACACCTAAAAATACCTGATGGGAGGGAGTGAAGACAAGGCGGATGCTTCTCAGCAGTGCCCAGCAACAGGACGTGAGGCAGCGGACATAAATTAAAGCACGCGAGATTCCATCTGAACACGAGGAAGCGCTTTTTTTACTGTGAGGGTGGTCAGGTGCTGGAATGGGTCGTGTAGAGAGGTTATAGTCTTCATCCTGGGAGACTTCAAAACCCACCCAGCTGGATGCAGTATTGGACAGTCTGGTTGACCCTGCTTGAGCAGGGGGGTTGGACTCAGTGACCTCAAGGTGCCTTCCGACCTAAACGATTCTGTCATCATTCTGATGCACAAACTGAACAAAATTGTTGTGCAAAGTTGTTATGACGTATTCCTGGCTTTTGTGAAGTGTAGGAAACCTTTTCAAGAGGATGTCTATCTTAAACTTGATGCATTGGTTCTCAGTGCATTGGTCATCTGGTTCAGTATTGTGCCTTTCCTTTTCCATCAGTGATTCATGGCAGGTGTCTGAAGGCACCAAACTACTTTAGGTAATACACAGGATCTGCCTTGATCAGTAGTTGAAATCCACGATGCAGATAAAGGAAGAGAGAAATAATAGATGCTTGAGTGCCTCTAAACTTTTAAGTACTTCAGCAGTTTTCATTTTTCTGAAAATACTACTCTTTCTAGTGGGAATTTGCTGTAAACTAACCATTTTTAATATATATGTGTGGGTACACATATATCTATGCGTGTGTGTATACATATGCTTATGTTTGCATATATATGTATAAGTAAATACATGAATTTATATGAAGAATGAAGTACTTAAAAAAGCATCCATGTGGAGTCCTGCCTGCAGTGTTTTATGCTGGGGGAGCAGCCCGACCATGTTGCTGCGATTTGTCCCAGATGCCTTCTGACAGACTGAAGTCCTCAGCTTCGGGTGGGCCCGTGGAAGCCCCATTTGTGGGCTGGTCACAGTGCGTCACTGCTCGTTAGCGCAGGGAAATTCAGGGAACTACTTCCAGATTCTGCCCTACTGAGCAGGGTCACTTACTTCCCTCCCAACACGTACGTGTGTGCACACAAATGCTTCCTTCAAGTTTCTCTGAAATACTTGATCCTTTTGCCTTTATTTTCAAACACCGTGAGCACGTTCAGATGTGATAGCCAGGGGCAAGCAAAATTATTTAGCCTCACTGGTGTCAGATTAATAGAAAATCTGATTGTGCAAGGTAGTCTTTAATAATCAATATATTGCGAATCAGTATTGCAGCTGAGACCTTGTAACGCCTATTCCATTCATATTTATGTTTATTTTGTCAGGTGGTCAGTTGATGCTGTAGAATACCTTCAGTGGGTTTAATTAGTCTAAATCATGGGAAGAAAAATTTATAATACGTAGCTTTCAAAAACTGAGTACAATGAAAACACATAAACATACAACTTTTTCAAGTTGTGAGCTTTCTTTATGCCCAACTTTATTGCTTTATATTTTCTGAACTATTTAGAATTTACTCGAAAAATTTAATAGCTCAGTGTAGATGGGCTATGTTCCCAGCAGCGCTTTTCAGAGGTGTTTTCCATTCTTCAGTTAAAGAATATCAAAGGAAAAAGATCAAGGAAGGTTAATTTATTTTGAGAACTGTACTGTAGGCGTAGGTTCCTAATCCCACACAACACGCTCTTCTTTTGCAGGACTCCGAGGAGGAAGACAGTGAGTTGGAGGCCATCAATAAGAAGCTGATACGTCCACAAAGTTTTCAAAATTTCCGGCCTTATGTACCGGAGGAGTTTGCCGACTTCAGTGTTTACAATGCTAGCCTGGAGAACAGGGAATGGTTTTCTTCTAAATCAGACTTCATGAGTTCACGTGCTCTTGAGAAAGAGGTACCCCGCAGCCCCACCACTAGCAGTATTACTAGTGGCTACTTTTCCCACAGTGCCTCTAACGCTACTCTGTCTGACATGCTTGTTCACTGTAGTGATAGCACAGACCAGCTAGCCAGCCACGCGAAGGAGCTGGACTCTAACGATCCCTCAGGATCAGCTCTCGCACATGAGTTAAGATCCTCTTCGAACAAGGAGTGTCGAGAGGCAGAAAAGGAGTTAGCGAGAGAGAAGTTGCCTGTGTTACCACTGACAGAAAACAGTGCCTTAACAGAACAAGTACCACTGTCCCTTGATGCCAGACAAACTGACAGAGACTCTCAGCAGTTACCCACAGCTGGATCATTTTCAGCTTTAAGTTCCTCGGATGGCAAAAATACTGGGTGTACAATTGAATTTTCAGCCTGTGAAGCAACAGTTGAGCACACGACAGACATTCTGGAAGACCACTCCTTCACAGAGTTCATGGGCGTCGAAGACGGAAAGGACTTTGACCACTCGACGGCTCCGCAGTCGTGTTCCCTTGCGTCCTCTAACGGAGACAGAGTGACTGCCTCGGAGCTACCCCAAGGCGTGGGCAAGGAGCAGAGCGCGTCCTTGGGCCAGCTGGGCTCCGCAGCAGCGGGCCACCGGCTTGCCGACACTGTGGAAAGCCCCATGTGTTCTGCGCTGGTAGAAGAGCCTTCAGACCGTGAGACTGATCCTGACGCTTCCGTAGATGATTTTATTGGGAAGGACCACTTGGACGGTTCCGACTGTGAAGAAGGTGCTTCTGCAGATCAAACCCATGTCTTGCCTAGCTGGGTGGCCGTGGGCGAGCAAGTCTGTGTTGGGAGTAACAAGACAGGCACGGTGAGATACATCGGAACGGTGGATTTCTCAGCCGGAATCTGGGTTGGAGTTGAACTGAACGTTCAGCTGGGTAAGACTAAATACGCTGCGATTTACCTGTGCTGTTAGCATGATCTGTCTGTAAAGTTAAACTGCAGTCAGGTGCGGTTCGGTCTTGGGGAAAGAACTCTGATTTTGTATAGGCTTGGAATCTGATGCACCCACCTCCAGGCCTTCTGTTTGTGGGAGCACTTGGTTTTTCACTGTCTGTGAGCCCTGTTCTTCTTGCTTTATGCAGAATAATGCTTCCGCATGTGGTGGTAGTCCCATTGGTACCCATCTCTTTTTGTGGATCAGAAAAACAAGGAAAGAAAGCCTAAAATTGGCAGATTTTTTTTTTTAAATCAACATGTGTGTTCGTGGGCAGTACTGACGATGGGCGTCACTTCTCAAATAGGGTTTGCTGTCTGGGGCTTTCGGGGGTTTTTTTTTTTTTTTTTTTTTTTTTTTCCCCCCACTGGGCAAAACTTAATTATAGAGCACAGGTTTTCTTTAACTTGAAGAAGATGGGGTCAGAAGACAACAATGCTCTGCAAGTGTTAAGAGATTACTACAGAAATGCCTCAGACCTTTTAAAAAGATTATGGTTTTAGTAGTTTAATGGGTGTTAACACTGACAGAAGTTTCTCTGACAGCTAAGTTTTAAGCTTTGTGAGCAGCTGGTTTGAGGATAGTTTATTTTGTAAAATAAACAACTGTGTGACTTTTTAAACCGTTAGTTATCGAAGTAATATTTTAGGAAATCATCTTTTCAGTCACAATTCAAGCCCTCCTTTCCCAGTTTTGTTCTCCCTGGTGCGTGGTGTGCGTCTGGCTTCATCACTCGGCATTAACAGTCCTGACTATTTGCCAGATGGCCAAAGATACTTCCGCTTCAATGCGACAATTGTGTGCGCTAATGAAAGTACCAGCAATTAATTCCGTGCACTTATTTTCATTGAAGGGAAGCATGATGGAACCGTGAAAGGCAGAGAGTACTTCCACTGCAGACCACGACACGGTGTCTTTGTTCGTCCTGGGCGCCTCAGCAAGGCACCAGCTTCCGCAAGGAGATGGAGCAGCACTTCACGGTCTCAGGCGTCTTCCACTGTAGAGAAACGGAAAAGCTCTGCACTTCAAGGCCCGTCATCCACTCCTAAAACGGGAGGAGAAGTCCTCTGCCATTCTGGAGATGCAGCAGCTTCTGCTTTTTCTAGGAAACAGGAAAACAGGAAATCTTGGATTAACTAAACTGCAGTATTTTTGCACTTACTACACGCGTCACTGTGTAGAAAACTTTATGGATTTTTGAAGCTATTGTACATTTTAATCTGTCCATACAAAATGTGTATTCTCTAGAGTCCTTGACTTAATTCTCTAATTCTTGGGAAATATATTTTAAACAACAAAAAATATTTTATTGTGGGGGGAAAAAACAGGATGTAAATCCGTATTTGGAAAAAAAACACTGCGGTTTGCTGTTCTTAATTACCAAAGAACTTGTTTTAGACTGACACATTTGCTGTTTATATCTTTCTATTGTAAATTCTTTAACGGATCACTTGGTGCCATGTTTCCCCTAGTCGCCGGGCACCGTGCAGCCTTACGTTCCGTGTTTAAGCACACTGAAATATCCAACTGCTCCGTACTTTTTGTCTTCCTAGAGGCCTGCCACTGTGCTGAGTTGGCGTTGGGCTGAAATGACTGACAGTGCCTGAAGCTACACGCCTGGCACTTCGCGTGTCACCATAAGCCGGCCGGGCAGTTTGACTGCAGAACCAGTATTCCTGCAAGGGCATGAGAGGACAACGTTTTTGGGGTTTAGGGGGAGTTCTGGGGTTTTTGGGTGTGGGAGGGAGATGGGGAAACAAAGCAGCAGTGAATGGATCATGACTGCAAACTTTGCACTTGTTACTTGTTGGTTATTATCAAGATGAAATGGAATCCGCGAAAGTAATTTTAATCTGTAAATTTTATTTTAATAATGGGAATGATGGATTTATGTCTGGTGCTCATGAATTCCTGAGAAGGTTGTTCCACATGTAGATACTGTAGATGCCTGTACAAGCGCTCTGGATATTTGTAAAGTAACATGGTGAAAACCGAGTGAAGTGAGTGGCCTGCTGTACCTGTTCTTCTTTGTTTCTTGGCAAGCGAATGACTGAGATACCTGGGACCTTACTGAAAAGCTGCTGTTCTTGCGTTGATTGTTGTGTACAGTAAGCGGACTCTCGTATTTTACTATTTGCTGTAAAGAACTGTAATTTATATACTGCCATACTGTATTTAATTGGTACAGACCTATTGTGTGTTAGAATACAGACTGTTTACTTGGGATTTAAAAAAAAAAAAAAAAAAGCTTGCTTGTATTTGGTACAGTTCGGTTTCCGGGTCAGTTACGAAGCTGTTTGCAGCTGGCGGTGCCCGGCTGAAGGACAGCGTGCTCGGAGCGGTGGAACGGCCGGCGTTAGCCTGTTTTGCGCAGCGTTGGGGAGAGCAGCAGCCCCTGCGCGTCCAGGGTCCTCAGCCGCTGCTCCACCCTTCCTGTACGGAGCGTGGAGCGGTGCTGGGAACTGCTGACAGAGGATGGCAGGGTGACGTGGGTCAAGGGCGGACGGGACAACTTCCTGGAAGGCTGATGGGGCAGTGGAGGTATTTACGTATTTAGCAACGAGTCTGAGCCCAGCATGGCTGGGAGGGTGACATGCTGGGGGGGGGTGAAGGCGAGGGGCTGCGAAGGTCAGCGTACTTGCCCTTAACGTAGCTTTCAGCTCCTCCGAGATGGGGTTCTTGTGTGTTAATTGATTTTGGTGAAATCAATATTGTTGCAGAACATCTCGTACTTGTGGTGTCCACCTGGAGTTGCTCTCACCACACTGATGCTGCTGGAGGAAATTATAATAGAGAAAGCGCTTTATGCAGAAGCACTTTGTCAGACACAGATCCTCCTAGAACACTGCCCGGTACCGACACCCCCAGCACCACGTTCATGTTAATTTTAGATGTCACTTCAGTCTTTTTGCAGTGCTTTTTAGAAAACACACACTTGGATGCATGCGGGTGCACACATTTGCGTTAACTTACTTGTCCAAGGCCACCGCGCACAGCCTTGAAAGCTCATGTGGCCGTTTTCTGAGGACAAAGATTTACGCCAGGCGAGCGTCAGCCAAACTAAGCTCTTCATGGTTTCACACCTGTGAGAACAGGGGACGCGGGGTTGCTTAAGAAACACCAGAATACTTTTGCTCCTTGGGGTGTGCAGTTTCTACATGCCAGAGAAACCCGGACAGGCCAGCCCAGCTCTGCACCGTGCGTGTTTCGTGTAACCTCTGCTCTCGTGACTGCTGTTATTACTGGAAGACCCGTACTTCTGCAAACCTCGCCTGTTCAGATGCCCTGTTTAGATTAAAGTTAGCAGGAGTAGTTAGGGTTAATTTAAAGTTACCAGGAGCTAACTAGTGAGCCAGTGATTTTCACTATCGGGGCAGCTTGGCAGCCTTTATTTTGCTTTCTGCCTTCACTGTGCCTTGTTTCCCTCCATCCCCAACCATCCCGCC